CGAAACGACAGGACATTGCATTTTAAAATGGTCTCTCTCTCTTTTTATAAAATTTTAAAAGTGTGTGTCAGATTTCTGAAATCGATCTTTTTCAATAATTAAATCTGTTGGAATTTTCTTCTGAGTGTTTCCAGTCTGTCATATTTTAGTTTTTAAAACGTGCTCTGGACACCCCTGTTTTTGTAGAATGGGGTGTGTGTGTGTGCAGAATAAAGCAGCAGACGGTTCTTGCACGAAACTAAGTGTCAGTTTAAGAAATAAATCCATTTCTTTGTCTGTATATGAATCTCTGTTGTGTTTTTTGTATTGTATTAAAACATGTTCTTGTTTGAGTGACGAATTCATTTTTATAAAAGACGTTTCTTGTTTGCTCATTGCCAATTAAATTTTACCTTATTCACGTGTGTACGTCATTTATTGCTACGATACTGACGATGATTGATTTTCCAGTCCTTTCAAATAATAATTATTGATAAATACTCTTGTCTGCTCTCCAGTCATAAAGAATTCCCACCGCCTTCTTAAACATTTGCCACGTGTTACTTGCGTTCGTGAATTCCAAGTCTGGAGGTAATAAACAAAGCGAACCTACCCCTGTGCTAACTTCTTATTGTCCATGAAAATTATATGAGACTTTCAACTGTTTTGCGTTTTGTTCAGCTGAAACTGTAAAAGTTAAATATTTTTTATCAGAATTCCGTAATGTGTACTTTTTCAAATGTATCGCGTAAGAAGAATTTGTTCACCAAATTGTTTCATTACGTACAAAAACTGCCTGACTAAACGGAAGATACGAATCCAAATTTCTGTAATTGGAACGCGTGTTGAGCCTCTGATGATAGGATGACATTGAAGTCGATGATAATAGCTGTTGGAGGAGATTTGCAGTTCCTAGATGTGTTAGAGTTGAAGGAGGTCTAGATCTAGTCTGCCCCAAAATGGAGATGCCAGCCCCTTATCGAGCTGTTTACAGTATTAAGCTGGCTTATTGAGTCTCATCTTGTGTTCTCTACATTATTGTCACGTTTAATCTGTTTGTATAATCACAGTTTAGAATATTTACTCGTGACACTACTAATATTTTCATGCCGAGTTTGTGCAGTCTGTTTTGATATATCGGTTTCATTTTGTCTGGCCTGTGTGTTCTGTGTACACAGTTGTATCTGATTTGTGTTTATCCTATCATCTTTAGCGTATTTATTTTCCTTGTACTACATATTTATACCTTAACAGGTCTGTTGATCTGTTGATTGTGTTCCGTCTATCCTACTTTATAATATTTATTTTATTTACGCTAGTGTCAAGAGGACACATCATATCTCGTCAATTGAAGTTACCAATTGTAATTTACCACTGAATTGTTCAGTGACAAATGAACATCGAAGTTTATGAGGTACACTACCTGGGTCTCGGGTTCGATTCCCGGCTGTGCCCGAATTTATAACTTGTGTTGGGCAAGGCCGTGGTCTAGGCAACACGGAGTTTTCCTCCGTGGCATCCCAACAATTACTCCATTCACACACAGAAGAAGGCAATGGCAAACCACTTCTGGATCATCTGCCAAGAACGTATATGAACAGGTCCCAGTCCGAGAAAAGGACGGAAGGATCCTGTTCATATGGACCTGTCGTCAGACAGAACACTAAATAAATAATAAGACACCAACATTTTGCCTTCCCAGTAGACTTAAAATCAAAGTTGGCTTTGGAATAGTTTTTGTTGCATTTGTTGTATTGTTTGCTTGTCTGACAAACATGACCGAACTTGGTTCCAGTTATTCTTGTTTAGGTAACATATTTTCGTGTTAGTTTGCCATTTGACAGTCGCGGTGTCCGTAATTTGCGTACTTGTTAACAACTTTTCGAAATTATTTCCACCAACAGCTGTTCCGAGAAACAAAAGCATCACGCGAACTGCATTCTGAATTTTAAGTTTCGTAATATATTTTCACTTTAGTCACGTAATTGTCCATCGTCTGTATTAGATCCTATATAGGACATAGAACAGAGTATTTGAGAAACTGATAGTGTCTTCGCTAATCAAGAAATTCCTGGCCTTTTATGGGGTTTTAGGGTTCATTATTGTGTTCACAAGAGCCCATCCACTGGTCCTTATCTTTAACTAGTTGAATTATGTGCACACATTAGCACCCAGAAATTTAAGACTAATTTACTTCATGGAGCAAAGTCCTTTTTGAGAAGCAAAGAAAATCTGATTAAGTAAAAAAAAATCTGCTCTCATAGCCAAAAAATGTATGTTTCCTTAAACGGTATTAACCAGTCGATCGTTGCAATGGTGAAGTGTTTTCTTTGCGGTACGGACTGAGTTATTAAATATTTTTTCAGGCGAGCTTTGGCTTCAAAGGATTAACTAGTTGATCTTTGTAATGGTGAAGTGTGGTGTTTTCTTCGCGGTACGGGCTGAATTAAATATAATTTAGACGAACTGACAATATGGGAGGTTAATATTAAAATGGAATCGGTGAAATAGTTTGTGAGGATATTTGGCTCGCGTGTCATGTGCCGCTGTGGCAAGTGCACCACAGGTTGGAAACCGGACCACCCAAGAAGTCGTCTTGCTTCCTGTCTCCCGCCCGCCGTTGTCCCTCTCCTAATATTTACCTGGGACTTGTCGCAGGTGACCAACCCATGAACCGCGAGACCGTAAACAGTCTCACGTGTAAGAATGTGTCCCGCCGTGGACATGACCAACCATTTTATTTTAATGTCACTGAATTGTTTTAAGAGAGGTCAATTTTGAGAGAATTCAGGATCAGTGGCGATGGTTGTCTTTCGGGTTATCGCTCCGTGTAATGTGGTTTAAGTTTTCCGACGTTTCGGAGGTGCTTGCTGCATCCGTCATCAGAGCAATGATCATCACACTGATGATAGCACTGACGATTGTAGCGGTTGGTATGTAGGAATATAAATATGCCGTATCAGCTGCAGAGGTTATGAAACGTCGAAAGAGTTAATGAAGGTACACGATGAATTTATAACATCGGAGAAAGATATCGTGGCATATTTTAAGGTCCGGCCTGTTCATTGTAACATGTTATCTTGATAGACTGTATTAAAATTACAGATTAAGTTTTACGCAAATCTCAAGAAGCATGTTTGAAACATGTCATGTCCTGTCAGTGTGACTTGGAATAGAGGAGCCATTAAACTGGATGCTTGAAGTACAGGCGGGAAAATTCTCTTGTTCCAGTCCAGTGGGTACCTGGGAACCGAAGCGTCAAGCTAATGATGATTTCTGAATGCGTTGTTTCTTGGCGTCTCAAAGAGCGAGGCGATGTCGCCTCGCTCTTGCGGCAACTTCTCCGACATCTGTGCATGACGTGTTGTCTAAACACTCAGCTGCAGGGGTGAAGCTGAGGGCTGGAAGATGACTGACTTTGCTAATGAAATTAGGAAGGGAGCTCGAACAAGAGATGGTTCCTGGGTGGTCTGAGAGTGTACAAACACGCACGCCCTTCCGAAAAGAGAATTCCATTTACCACCGCTTTACTTTTTGAAAAGTTCAGCTCATTTTTCTGTGTCCACACTGGCCGGTGTTTCTCGACGCTAGCTGCTTAAGAGTCGCGTACCTGGGCATTTTATGACTCATCAGGAAGTCAGGTTACGGTATGCCTTAATGGCACGGTAGTAAGTACAGGGGTGGCATGGAGGACTTACTCCATAGAATTATGCATTTTGTTTGTCTGTGGTTCCTGTCCTGAGCCAGCTCAATTCGTTCCGTGGACTCAGCATTTTTTTACGTTTTCATGTCGGTGTTGGTGGGTTGTGACGCACTAGTGTTAATCTGGAACGTTTCTGAATTAGGAGGCAAAATACTCAGTTATTCTGATATTTAGTGTTAGGTTTCTTTAAAAAGTCAATTTTATTACGAAGCTTTTACTGGGGACTGTACAGCACCACGTGTTTGAAGGACGCCAATTTGGCGGATTATACGAATTTCACACATGGGCTGAAGACAAAAATGTTTTTATTTATCTGAAGCAGCGAGTTCAGAGTTCGATACCGCGTTAGGTTACGAGAATATGTGAAATGTGATAACATTTATTCGTCTTGTAATAGTGCAATGTGGCGATGACGAAAAATTTGAAGTAGGCTACAATCAGTAACTTGATTTTTTAACCCTTTAAAAGCTGAATGGTAACTATATATACCACCCTGCTTTAGTAGTCCATAACTGTGCATTTTCCCATTGTGTTTTTTGTGGGTTTTGTATGATTCTCACAATAAACGGCGTTAACCAGTTGATCTTCGTAATGGTGAAGTGTGGTGTTTTCTTCGCGGTACGGACTGAATTCTTACGTAATATTTATACGAGCTTCGGCTTCAAAGGTTTAACCAATTGATCTTTTTAATGGTGAAGTGCGGTGTTTTCTTCGCGGTACGGACCGAATTCTTATATTTAGAACCGTATTAGCGCATGGCTCATCGGGTGGATTAAAACTACCTCGCTGTTGAGCTGACAGGAAGCTCCATATTTTGAGAAATTCCGCACAATTTGATGTAATGGCTGCCTATAAATACTGCAGAGCGAAACAAAATTATGGAATATGCGTAATTATGTAGGCAATTGAGCAGAAATCCATTTGTTGACTTTAATAAACACAGTCTGCTGAAATTGTTGGGCAGTATTTAAAAAAAAAAAAGAAACAAACAACACCTCCACATTTACGTTATTTACGCGTGATGCAATAAGTTTATTTTAATACTGCAACAAATATTTAATAATTTTCTGATTTATAAGCATTCTGCTGCTTAACTAATGACTTATCCGTCAGATTTTTCTGTGTTCATACGTAGGCATACAAGCCGAATGATGAAAGCAGAAATGAAGGTAAACACACAGAGATATTTTCGGGATGATTTATCTTTAGTCAGGGACCCTGCCCTATTGAAACTTGCTGATATGAACTTCATGATCAATCCTGTCCTATCGTTTTAGCCTGTAAATAGAGG